AACTCCTTCAACAATAGTGCTAGAATCGAACCCTAAAATTATCAACTATGTTCTAAAATGACTTGTATTCATTATTCTAACAATAAAATCATGTTTATCACATTTTATTTCTCAAAAAAAATTAACTCAAAAAGTAATTTTCTTACTTTCTTTTCGTGAGACTGCTGTGGCGGGGTTGAGGCAACAACAGTTGCAGGTGGGGAGGTTCTAGTGGTTGTCGACTGCAACGGCGACGGGGCGACGGCGAAGGGCGGCAGCGAGTGCTGCAATTGATTTTTTTCCCTTCTTCCCTCCTCGTTTTTTAGTTCTCATTTTTCAATTTATTTTTTCTTTCTTTTTTTATTAATTTTTGTTTTTTAAATTAGTCTTGCAAAAGTAAATTAATAAAAGAATTTTATTTTTTTTGGTATTTTACTAAGGCTATTATAGTCTTTTTATACTTAGTTTGATAAAAAAAAAATTAATTTGGTCTTGCTCTAAGTAAGTTTGTGATTGCAAATAGTCGCTGTCTTATGGAATATTTACCCCTTTTAATTTGAAAATTGTCATTTACCCCTCAACTAATGAGTCAACCTATTTGACTACTAAAATAGTGAGGTGGTTTAAATGAAATGTAATTTTATCCTCAAAATTTTACATCATTTTTTATTAGGTTGAGGCTATATGCAAGACTAATTTCACTTGTGCAAGATCAAATTAAAATTTTCAATATATAAATACTATAATACCCTTATTTGTTAAAAAATAGAAAATTTCAAATGTGCAATACCAAAAACTCAAAAACAAAAAAAACTCTATCACAAAACCACAAAACCAACTCTCATAAATCTTTCTCCTTCCTCATCTATAAACCCACAAAACCTAAACATTCAAAATCATCAAAACTCAACAAATCTTACAAAGATGGCAAGTATGGAGTCAATAGACATCAAAATAGAAGAATCTACGGTAGAATAATCCAAGAAATTATGCATTTATGTGTTTTTTTTAGCTAGAATATCGTTTTTCCAAAAACAATCCCGCGCAGACACAGTCGACGTGTACATGTCGAATTTTATAGGCAAAAATCGACAATGAGATGTCGATTTTGTAGTACAAAATCGACACCTTAGTGTCGAAATTTAATTGTTAGTAAATTAGGCTAAATATACTAAATTTCGACATTAAGGTGTCGAATTTATGGACATATATTCGACACCTTAATGTCGAAATTTAGTTGTTTCATATTTCGACATGTACATGTCAAATTTTATAGGTAAAAATCGACATTGAGATGTTGATTTTGGAGTACAAAATCGACACCTTAGTGTCGAAATTTAACTGTTAGCAAATTAGTCCAAAATTTACTAAATTTCGACATTAAGGTGTCGAATTTATGGACATATATTCGACACCTCAATGTCGAAATTTAGTTGTTTCATATTTTATTATTATTTGTTATTTGGTCTTGCATGAGCAAACAAAAACCAATTTAATTTATGGGTATATTTGTCATCTCATCTTAATAAAATAGAATATTTTGGAATCTTTCTTTAATTTGGTCTTGCACAAGTGAAATTAGTATTGCATATAGCCGCAGCCTTTTTATTATTATTGTCCTTCACACATGATACCTTATTTTTATAATAGGAAATTAATTTTTATACTGTGAATAAATTTAAATAAATGTTTTGGGTTAGTTTCATTTTTTAAATTGATAAAATTATTTACTTTAATTATTATTTTAAAAAAAATATTTTTAACATTAAAATTTATATAATTAGTTATAACTAGAATTTATGTAATTTGTAATTTGAAGTCCAAATGTTTTTTTTTTTGTTGGATTAAATTTCATTGAATTAATATAAAGTGTATATTGTGTTGATTTTTTTATTCATGAAATCAATTTATAAATAACATTGAAAAAAAATATATGATTAAAGTATTACCATTATCATAAAGGCTAGTACCAATCTCTTAATTAGGAATTATTATAACTAGCCTATATTAAATCTCATGTGGAGAATAATGTTAAATGTTGTGCTAAAATTTTAAATAACGAAAATATTTCCGATTTTAAGAGTGAGTTAAATGGCAATTCGATTGGTACTTATAATATAAGACCCGATCCCAAAAGGATAAAAATAATTTTATGTAAAATCATTTGATTGTTATAGAAAATAAATGGCAGTGGTTTGGGTTGATGCAGATACAATTATTCGTCTGCTCTTATTCTCGAAAACAGAAGTTGAAACTTTATAATTTGAAATCATTATTCGAATAAAGATTAAATTTAATTAAAATAAAGCCGCAATTTTTCCCAGCCATTTATTTTTTTGTTAACCAGTAAAAACACAGTTCAATTTTTGGATTGAAAAAATGATTCGGAATTTGTAAATATTTTTTGAATTAAGGGGTTTATACATTTTTTATTCGAGGTGAATTGAAAAACAAAAATAGTCTAGATTATACTAGATCCTCTACCATAGTCCAGTTTCGAACCCTTTAAAGCGTTCTTTGTGAGATCACATTTTACTTGTAACTTATATAGCACGGACATGAAAAAGGTGATACGGAAAAACTGACACGGGGAAATGATATATTCTAAAAATGAAGATATGGGAACTCGGGGGAAATGTGTGACTATTAAAATTATAGGGGTATAATTATAAATATATAAACTTATATAAGTTTTTATTTATATATGAATTATTTTATATTTTTTCACACAAACATATTCAAAATGAATTGTACTATCAATCATCGATTTGAAATTGATCATTAAATCGTGTAAATAATTAGGGAAACAACAAAACTATTTAAATATTTGCTATTCAAACATGTTTACAACTTTCAAAAATTATAAATTGGCCATAATGTGTCTGGCAAGTGTTCTCGGGTATTCGAAACGTTAAAAGTTAAAGTTTCCGTACTACATAGCTGATAACATATTAGTGAGAGGTTGGGGTTTAAACCATTTAAAGGTTGTTTATTAATTATTGATGGACAACAATATTAATTATTAAATATAATAAAAATTGTGAGTAGACATCACCACCATAAGGCGAAGAGAAACGTTTTGGATTCTTCAATTTGAAAACAACAATAATAAAAGGATTTAACTGCAACAAGTGTTAATTAGAGGGGTTGAGGTGATATTAACTCTTATTTCAAGGGGTTTAAACTATAATAAATACATACTTACAAATTGATCAAATAAGCCCTTTTCCGATGATCAGTTTAATCTCTCTCTCCTCACTAAACCCCGTACGTCATGCCAACCGTCGCCGCCGTCACCCGCCGTTATCCGTTCGCCGCCGTGGGAGGAGGAGACTGCGAAGGCGGCGATGGAGCTGGTGAAGAGAAACACACATGCCAACAACAGAGCTCTGATTGTTGATTTGCCGCGAGCCTTTAAAGGATGGCTATTTCCAGATTGTAAGCCATGAAATTTACTGTTTGGGGCTAATTACGGTTAAAAGTCCATAAATTAATACAGCCGGGGCTTGCAAAATACTGTTAATTTAGCGAAATATTACATTATCGAAGCTTCTACTGTATGTGGAAATGTAATTGCATTACTGTTTGCCTTTCTTATGATACAATTATGTTAATTGTAGTTAGAAACTATGGAGAACATCTGGCTGCTGTTATATTTATATATACTTAATTACTGTTTAACATGATTTTTGGGTAATTGGTCGAATATGTTGGTGAGTATTTTGGTGATTATTGTATTTATTTACTATAATTTGTTTTTTGGTTATTGTGATAATAATGCCCTAAATGTGCCAACTGCTGCAATTTCTGTTGTCGTACATTAATTTTTATCTCCCCAGAAACTCCATGGTCGTAGGTTATAGAAAGGCGTGTTACGTTGTTTGACTTACAATCTTGCATGCGTGGCTATCCTGCTTCTCTCTGTTGTATTAGCTACTATAGGATTAGCATCAATTTTCTACTCCTTTACTATAAGTTGTTTTGTAAAAAAAGTTCAAATGTTTTTCGACCAACAACCTGAAAGAATTCAATGTGAATTGAATGATACGTATGGGTTAACATCCTTCTTATCACTGTTGATTCTATACACCTTCTGTGTTATGTGCATCTTTAATACATATGTGATCTTCCCACGTCTGTTTTTTATTATATTTGTAACCATGGAAACTCGAGGTTTGAAGTCATTATCAAATTTCTGCTAATTTTGCAACTGGTGAAGTTAATCTATGTCACATATTCTCTATAGGAAATTCCACGTCCAAAAATTATGACATCTTATTGGTAACTTGATGGTTCGTACTAATTTTACTTCTCATTATTTGAAGGAATATGGGGCATTATCGCGAGTTGGCGAGAGATGTGTTTTCAGAATCAGGTAATAATTTAATTTGGATGTTGAAGAGTAGCTTTAGTGCTCATAAGCTGTTTGATCTCAATCTGGTATAGAGACTACAAAAGTTTGGGTTGAGTTTCAAAGTTATATGCTTCTAATCAAAACAACATCAGATATCTATAAAATAACCTTTTAGCTTATTGAGCAGAAATCAAGCTAAACTTGATAAATATCCTATTGCTAATATGATATCAAAATTGAACATTCCTAGAAAATTAATCCGAAAAGGTATACTTAGCAGTTGGGTAGATGTCTACGGTTTCGTAAACCGACCGAACCAAAACCAAAGCTTTAATTTGTACCGAATATTGAACTGCTATTATCCTGTTTGATATTCGCTTTCCGTATTTCACAGTTTTGGTTCGGTACTGATACTTTTGGTTTAAGTTTACGCAACTGAACTGTGCTTTTAGAAAATCCTTCTTTGTACATATATGATTGAAGAAGAGATTTTTCCATGTATACAATCATTCCTGGTATTGTCATATGTCTTCTTATTAGCTAGTTTTTGTTCTTTTCTTCCATCATAGAAAATGCGAGTTAATAAGTTTAAAAGTTTTTTTTTTTTGTTTAATTCATTTGCAATTTTACATGTAACCCAGAATTTAAATAGAGAATAATGGTGTAGGCTGGAAGAGCAATCAAGACCAAGATGAAATTTTGGAAATTTCCAAAGAGCAATCAATACCAAGAATGGCAGTCGGTTTTCAGTATTGCCAAAAAATATTTGGTATAGTTTACATGCTACTCAGTTTGGTTGATGAAATATAATTAGTTGTCTCATTTATCAGAAAATTCACTTATCCCGGGATCTTTACGAATTTACCGAACCACACCAAATTGTTTGGTTTTGGGTATTAAGTGTCGTAAAATGCAAAATGATATTTCTGTTTTCTAATTTTCGGTTTGCTGAATGCACAGGCCTTTTGGCTGTGGATATTGGGCTTAGATACTCTTTCAGAAATCCAAGAAATGGATCGTAGAAGTTCAAAACCGTAGTAAAGGTACTGTCAAGCCCATCCAATACATTTTGTTTCCGTACATTGCTGCCAGCTAAGAATTATTAATGCTAATACGTCAAATGAGTTGGCGAGTTGGTGGATGGATAAGTCAGAATTTATTGCAATTGACTGTCGACCGTATCACGGCAGATTTTCTCACCATTATATAACACGCATTCTCCGTGCACCAATTCATTCACCATATCTCCATGTCTCTCTGCTTTCAGTTTTCTTCCCATCATTTTCTCTGATTTAAGGCTTTTGCTTTATTTTTGGTTGAAAATCGGATGAGATTTGTGTTAATATTTGTAAGTTTTAGTTTGATTTAGTTTTAGAATGATGCCTATATCTTTTTCTTATTCTTGTTACACCCCCCCCCCCCCCCCCACCAAGCTGCATTCTACCTTCATTTTTCCATCGTGTAATCATTTTCTCGGATTCAAGGATTTTGATCTATTTCTGGTTCAAAAACAAAGGACGTATCTGATTTGACATACATCATTTTTTTTTTGAATTTTGTAATTTTCGATTTTTCATTCCCGGTCGCCTAGTTGTTTCTGTCCATTTCTTTTTGTCTACTTTTCATTCAATTCTACCTTGGATTAATGATAGATCTCATCTCGATTTGAAGATTAGTTTTCTAGGACAAGTTTTTGTGTCATAGTTACGTTGCTTCTCTTTCTGATGATTTTTTTCCCTTGTAGAGTTATCCATGAAGAAATATCCTCTGCTGGAAATATGCAGAGGAACGAGCTCAATTTTAAGGTAAATTTCATGAAGTCAATTATGACAGATCTCTTAGAATCAAAGAATGATAAACAGAGAACAACAGGGATCTGTTGTTGTTTTTCAAAAAGAAAATATATAGAAATGATTTAGTAAATAAACTTATCTTAATTAACTTAATCAACAGATCTTACATTAGATACCCATGTGAAATGGAAGGAAGCTATCTATATTTCTTTTTGAGAGGGTTATATCCGGAACTGTAGATCTCTTATAATTTCACTCTCGTAAAGTAAGATATTCAAAAACTGAGGACAATGAGTTCTTATGTTAACATGCTTGTCTTTGGGTATGACAAAGGAAAAGAAGCGACTCAAACAACTGTCATCACTGCCACAATAAGGACAAAGAAAATTTCCTACAGATTCGGCGACGCAGTTTTCGTACCTGCTGGCTGCCCTCACCAAGCTAGAAATCTAAAGGTTTGAATGTCTGGCTCGTATACAACTTCGTGAACAACTTCAATTGTTTTTCAGTCGAATATACATTTTATTCGCTGCGAATTTCGTAATTAATATTTGTGTACGATGTTCCATCTTGCAGTCGTGCACAAGTATGTCTATCGACTTTGTTTCAGCAGAAAGTGTCGGTGAGTGCATCCGCCTGTCAATGGAATATCGGTCGACTCCCTCACAATCATAGTTCTAAGGAAGACAAATTGCAGGTATGTAAAATAATATGATTGTCTTGTCAATAACTAAAATCGGAGATATATATAATGAATAAAAATTTGTCTGCTTGTAAGAAAAATAAAGATTGCGGACGACATCTAACGGCTCGTAATAAAACAGGTGAAGGGATTGGTTCTCAGCGCTGTACTTGGACAAGATTGATGCGTAAGTCATATATGCTTGTTAAACATATGTCTTTGATACGATACGATGTTAATTCATTTTATTTTATTCTTTACCAGTACTACGTTAAGAAGTCCATTTGCACCGTACGCCAGAATCCAGCTCAGCAAGGGGAGAAACCTAGTGTTTCACAAATGAGGAGGGAGTTGGAGCGGATGAAATCGGCTCTCGAAACGAAAGGCCACCTTTTTCAACCCCATATGAAAGACTATCTCTTAAAAGAGATTCAGCGCCTCATTGACAAAATAAGCTTCAGTATGCTCTTTCAGATATGGTACATTTGCACCCTCTATACGCATCGGAATGTACATCGGAACCCTGCGCTGACGAAAAGGAATGTGTTGGCAGGTGATTAAATTTACTCTTGAAAGAAAAAACGGAGAATGTTTTCAACCGCATATGAAAGACTATCTTTTAAAAGAGACTCGCTAACAAAATAAACTCCATTTGCAGAGTCGTATTCGTCTTAGTGACAACATGAAAGAAGGAATTTTTGTATTTATATGTTTTTTTTTATAATGAATTATTTACTGATGAGTTGATTTATTTCAATTTGATTAGTTTAATCTCTCCTCACTAAATTCCCATATGTGGAAGTGCAATACCCATGCCAACCGTCGCCGCCGTCACCCGCCATTATCCTCCGCCGCCGTGGGAGGAGGAGACTGCGAAGGCGGCGATGGAGCTGGTGAAGAAAGAAACACACATGCCAACAACAGAGCTCTGATTGTTGATTTGCTGCGGGCCTTTAAAGGATGGCTATTTCCAGATTGTAAGCCATGAAATTTTACTGTTTGGGCTAATTACGGTTAAACCTCTATAAATTAATACAGTCGGGGCTTGCAAAATACTGCTAATTTAGCGAACTATTAAATTTATCGAAGTAGTAATTTTAATATGTTTTTACCGGGTCGGACCGTGAGAAATTATTATTTAAGCGAGGTTATTAATTTATCGAGGTTCTACTGTGTGTTGAAATGTTATTGCATTACTGTTTGCCTTTCTTATGATACCAATATGTTAATTGCAGCTAGAAACTATGGACAACCTCATGTTGCTGCTGTTATATTTATATATACTTCATTACTTTTTAACATTTGGTCGAATGTGTTGGTGAGTATTTGTTGATTATTGTTTTTAGTTACTATAATTTTTTTTTGGTTATTGTGATAATAATGCCCTAAATGTGCCAACAGCTGCAATTTCTATTGCCGTATATTAATTTTTATGTCCACAGAAACTCCATGGTCGTAGGTTATAGAAAGGCGTGTTACATTGTTTGACTTACAATCTTGCATGCGTGGCTATCCTGCTTCTCTCTGTTGTATTAGCTGCTATAGGATTAGCATCAATTGTTGTTTCTCCTTTACTATACGTTGTTTTGTTAAAAAAAATCAAATGTTTTTCGACCAAAAAACCGAAAGAATTCAATGTGAATTGAAAGTACGTATGGGTTAACGTCCTTCTTATCACTGTTGATTCTATACACCTTCTGTGTTATGCGCATCTTCCCACGTCTGTATTTTATTATATTTGTAACCATGGAAACTCGAGGCTTGAAATCATTATCAAATTTCTGCTAATTTTGCAACTGGTGAAGTTAATCTATGACACATATTCTCTATAGGAAACTCCTCGTCCAAAAATTATGACATCTTATTGGTAACTTGATGGTCCCAACTAATTTTACTTCTCCTTATTTGAAGGAATATGGGGCATGATCGAGAGGTGGCGAGAGATGTATTTTCAGAATCAGGTAATAATTTAATTTGGATGTTGAAGAGTAGCCTTAGTGCTCTTTTAAGTGTCAAATAATCGGAAAGTGCTTCATCTGATAACATTTATATGAAAAACCAAATGTCGCAGATATGAATGCGTGACTTAGTTATTCAAGACTAAAGTATATGTTAATAAAGCTATTAGTTACTATATGTCTTCAGTTAATTTGTTCAAGTATTGATCAAATATATTATACACAATTGCAAGTGATATTACTCTTCGATATGTTCAAACATCTCAAAAGAACTTTGGTTTTAGGAAAAGAAATCCTGCCTGATATTTGGAAGGTAAAACAATCGGGAATGAGGTTTTTAGCATCACACCTTGAGTTTTTGCTTTTTTCATACCTAGGTAAACTAAATTAATGGCTCAAGGAAGTTCACAATAGACTGTGTGGTACATTTCATATCTCGCCAAATGTCATTTTGCTGACAGCTATGGTTGGTGTAACTGCTAATATGTAAAGTTAGCTGGCATCGTCACTGGATATGAAGCAATTTATTAGGGGTCGATACAATCAATGCTGACCTTATCGATTTACTGGCGGAGTTTCCCACAAATAAATTTTACCCTCCCCTCCCTCCCTACTCCCATTCTTCTATCTCGCCCATTCTCTCCACCTCTGTATCCCTTGTTCAATTTTCCATCTTCGTCTCCTCATTTTCTCAAATTAAAAGCTTCTGTTTTGTTTGTGGTTCAGAATCAGAAGAGTTTGTTATCTGATTTAGGTGATTTTATATTACCTTTTCTTGTTTTTCCCTTTTTTTTTTTCTTAAACTAGATGAACTGAGTTTGCTATCTAATTTCCACCACTTTCATGTTACATTTCATGACACGATATGTTCTATTTTAGATTAAAAAAGAACATGTGTTTGTCATATTGATTTTGAAGATTATATTGTATGATTAGTTTTCTTACTCCTCCTTGGTGATTATTTTATCGTTTATGTTGTAGAAACTAACAATTTTGAAAAAAACATTCTTCTATAAATAAGGTTGGTTTAATCACTGCATGTATTCTTACTTATAATTAAAACTTAAAATAATAGATGTATAATTAGAGTGGTGCAATCCTTATGAAGAAACCAATAACCACTATTATATAATTTATATTTTTTTTCCTTACATGATTATGAGCCATTTGATGAAGTTATTAAACTTGTACTCATATGTTCTTGAATATAATCCTTTATGCTCTATTGTAATCATGTATTCAAATCAAAGTATATCATTAATGGTTTAAAATTGTTGTTATTCTCTGTTAGTCTTTAGGTTACAACATTTTCATGCCTTGAAATAGGTTTCATAACCTGTATCTCCCACTTTTTTTTTGTTGGTAGAATTTAGAGGACAAAAATACATTAGTCGGCATAGGTTATGTGAACATATTAAAAATTTAATTATAATGGTTGAAATATTTATTAATAGATTCTGGTGCACCAATTTTATTGTCAGTGTGCATAAGTAGTAAGTAGCAATAATTTAAAACAAATATTTTTCTTAAAATGTCCTTAAGGAATCCTAATTTGAGATTTTTTTTTCTGGGGCCCTCCTTTTTACAGGCATGGTAAGTAAAAACGTTTTTGGTTAGTGAGAAGGAAAATGATTTATATATTTATATGAATCAGCATAAGATTGCAATAGTCAGTATTATATTGCAGTAATATGTATAAGTTTGCAATAGTCAACATTATATTGCAGTGAGCAGTATCGGATTACAGTAATCAACACAATTTTCCTTTTTTGCTGGTAAGACCTCCTTATTTCATTTTCCCTGGAACAATTATGCATACATTTTGCCATTGCAGTTAAGAGAACAATTGAAAACCAAGATTTATCAAGGCAATTAATTTTCGGGGAGTTAAAATGATGCCGTCGAGAAGTACAAATGGAGAAACATCTTCTGCTGGAAATATGCAAATGAACAGACACAACTTAAAGGTAAATTAATAATGTTAATTGTAGAATTAAATTGCTATAAGATTTGATATAAGCATATAGGTTGCAGAATTCGGTTATCCGTGCAATTGTCTTGTATCAAATACTTTTTAGAAGTAAAAAAATCAAATTCCATTTTGTGTTTGTCTTTTCAATGAGACCCCATGTGTAAATACCAAATTAGAAAAACCTTTCTTTCAGACTATTTATAGTGAAATTACTTTGACTAAATACATTTATATATACAGCAGGGGGACCGGTAAGTGTGGATTCTTCGATTTTGTGATGTTGGTCTTGAATTATTTAGTATTCAATCATGAAGTGTTTAATTTAAAAAATGTATCTTTGTAATTTTAATCGATAGATCTAACATTAGATATGTGTGTGTGTGTGTGTGTGCGCGCGCGCTCATGTGTGTGTGTATACGCAATTTTAGAGTAAATGCATACAAATTTTGGATGATCTGTCATAATTTCATAATATTCGAAGGCGTTTAAATGTTGTTCTGAAATAACTTGATTACGGCAGAAAACGATGACATGTCACAACAATTAAAGTTAAGACCCTAAAGAAGATTAAATCCAAAACTGCGGATCTCATCTAATTCATTCCATTGCCAACTTTTCATAAAGTACTATATAAAAAATCGAGGATATACTCTATGTTAATATGTTTTTCTTTGGATGTGGCAGAGGAAAAGCATCGACTCGACCAATTGCCATCAATGTCATAGAAATGACAAAGAAAAAGTTGTACGATGCACCAAGTGCAAGCATAGGGGTTATTGTATTCTCTGTATCAATAAATGGTGAGAAATTTTGTTGCTTGATATATTTTTTGTTGCTCTTATGTTGGTACTTGGTATATCTTACATGGTGGCTTATATTTTGTAATATGGATAAATGTCATTTAAGTCATACTGATTAATTTTGAGTTTTACCGCCACAAAGCAGGATGGTATATTTATTATCTTCTCTTTGGAATATACCTACTACCCATTTAGTCATTTATGAATGAATTTTTGCTTAAACATGTTTCAAAGTAAGGGCTTCCCTTGGTTCTACACTTACATTATTCCTGCATTTTCTTCAATATATATATATATATATATATATATATATATATATATATATATATATATATATATATATATATATATATATATTTTATCGTCGATATACTATATCTCTGTGGTACACACAGATACAGAGGCTGCAAGAGGCAGACTTTGCTGAAGCATGCGCAGGCTGTCGCAAATTGGCAACTGTACAGCTGGCATACATTCTGATCTGGAGAATAAAGTTAGTATTAAGGTTCTTCTCTTGATTTTATATTAATATAGGATTATATGTTTTCTAATTAAGTCTCTTGTTCTTGCATGTTAGGATTTGTTCAAACCAGACTTGCAGCTCGACATCAACAAAAAGGTCCAGTACTCAAAGTATATTATTAGAGTACTTCTTCCTTCGTTTAGGAAGTTTGTTGTTGAGCAGAACATAGAAAGAGAAGAAGAGGCAAGAATTCAAGGTAACTTTAACTTTTGTTAGGAGGTTTTGCTTAGAAAATTATTTTGATATCTCTTATCTTCTTGTTACTGATATGGATTTTGATGCCTCCAAACGAAACCGAAGTGTCTTAAAATGGTATTTAATGGCACTATGCATCATTGAAGTTTCAGGATGATTTTTTCTAATAATATTAATTTATGCCGTGTAGAAGTGTTGAACATATTTAATGTTTATCGTACACTACTTGTTTCCTGAAGATCTATGAGTTTAAAAGTGAGATTCTTATTTTAGGCGTGCCTTTGTTTGTGTTACTAAACACCCTGGAAAACAGCACAAAAATCTAAATCTAATTTTCTTGTCTGTATCAATTCTACTACGACGATCCATCACCACTGCCTCGACCATTATCCCGCCAAAAATGTATATTCACTGTTTATTCGAAAGATAGAATAAATATGAAAAATATTTTATATGTTAATAGTTTCCGTTAATTGTATGTGCTACTCCATTTCAGTGATTTATGATTTTGAGGTATTAGTGAGACGTACCTGGAGATAAACACTATTGATAGAACTCTTAATTTTCCCTAGCAGATGTAGTTTCGTTGTTTGATTAATTATAATATATATATTTTGGTTGGGCAGGTGTTTCAGTTGCGGGACTACAGCTTCCGAAAGCCAACTTTATCCACGACGATAAAGTCAAATGGTGGATACTTTTAACCTATGCCCTTTTCCTGATAAATGTTTGCTCCAGTATGGAAAATGTTGATAATTATAACTTGTGCTGTGCAGTGACAACTGTAAGACTGCAATATTCGATATCCACAGAAGTTGTCTAAACTGCATGTACAAGCTCTGCGTAACTTGTTGCCGAGAGATAAGGAATGGCTTCCAATGGGGAAATGATAAATATCACGTTCATCATGGGGGTCGTACTTTTACAAGCAATGATAGATTTTCTGCAGCAGCCTGTTGCTCTATGGACCACACGAGTTTTACTTCTGAATGGAAGCTGATAGACAGAAGTACCATAGTTTGTCCACCTGAAATTATGGGGGGATGTGCTCATGGGAATCTGGTGTTAAAGTCCACATATCCAGATAACTGGGTATCGGAACTGCTAATTAAAGCAGAGTCCATAGATCTCGAGGTGGGTGAAGTTTCCGAAGAAGCATGCTCATGTTCAGGGACTGCAGTCCGTAATATCCGCTGTCCCAAAGTTGTGGGCGTTGACCAAAAGCACTTCCAACGGCACCTATATAAAGGTGAGCCTGTGATAGTTCCTGACGTGCTCAGCAGAACGACTGGGTTGAGTTGGGAGCCATTAGTCATGTGGCGTGGTTGCCGCAAATCCAGAAGGACTAATGACGCTCGCATTCTGGAATTCAGCGTAACAAATTGTGTAAATTGGTGCAAGGTATGCCGACTTCTCTATTATGTTTTACTCTATCAATCAAAAAGTTTTAATTTGTAATTTGTGATTGGACTTCGCTTATTTTACATCCTTTTAATCGTATACCTCTTTTTTTTTTTTTTTGTTTTTCACAGTCATGGTCTTATTTCTTGTAACTGTTTCTAGGTTGTATTCTTTATGTTCTTGAGCATTCACTTGCTGCATATGTAATCTTTCAAAAGAAGGACTAAGTAACAAAAATACTAATCTCTTATCGTCCTTAGTTTCGGTGCAAATTTCTCTTCATATTGTATCAACCTTCAAAATGTCAAAACTTTGGTTGGGTTAATAAGTGTCTAACACGAATTTGGATAGGATAAAGCAAAGATCTGACAATTCGTCGTACTCGACATGTTTCTTAAAATAGAGATGTTTTGATAGATTTGTTCTTGATGTTTGTTTTCCTATTTAATTGAAATGAGACCGATATATACGTCGCCTTTACCCTTTTTATTCGCTATGTTAAGTGTCACTTCTTATGTAGGTTTTAGTCTGTCAGTTCCTATGCATTATGCACGTGTACTTTTGTTTTCATTAGCTTAAAGATGTGGTGTTGTAATGATTTGATTTTCGGGCTATGACACGCAGGAAACTATAAACATGCACCAATTTTTCAATGGGTATTCTGAAGGCCTCTTGGACAGTGAAGGCCGGCCCAAAATTTTGAAGTTGGAGGATTGGCCTCCAACTGAATCCTTTCAAGAACGGCTGCCTCGGCATTTTGTAGAGTTCATTAGATGCTTGCCGTTCAAGCTATACACACATGAAGCTGGCTACCTCAACATGCCAGCGAAAACGCCGAAGAAGTCGTTGAAGCCGGATTTGGGTCAAAAAATATGCTTTGCTTATGGAGTCAATGAGGACCTTGGCTTCTGTTCTGCAACCAAGCTTCAGTATGCTGTTTCAGATATGGTACATTTTTTTCTGTTATTATCTTTCTTTATTAACTTGAATATTTATGAGAATATATGAACTGCTTTAAATCATTTCCAATTAGTCTGCCTATTGCATCGATAGAAGCAGTACATCTCCGAAAGATTATTCTTATGAAGTCGTGGGTATTTCTATCTATTCAACGCAGTCCTAGTTCTTCTTTCTTGCATGTAATATGTTAATCTTAATTGTTGACTCATTATACGCAAGATAGAATGATGTTGAATATGCTTTAAACTTGAGTTTCAATTAGGAATAATAGTCATGAAAAAATTTGGAATAATGTAGAGGCATAAAAGTTCGATCACAAACTATTTCTTGAAGAAGAGAAATGGATTTGCTGTGAGCCTCCATGGTTCTTGAAATATGACATAGTCATATAATTGAGCAATATGGTTAGCCTCTTCATGATGGAGTTAACTTTTGATTCCAATTTACTATGAAACTTTCAATAGGATAAAATATATTAATTATGTAGATTTACTTCTCTTTTTGCCTTACTTTATTTTTGCCTTATTTTATTGGGAAAATTTTGGGCTATAATAAGATTATGTAACTTCAAATCTTTTGTGGATTGAGACACAAGGGTTGCCCATTGTGTCAACATCACTAGCGACTAGTGATGTACCTAGTCTATCGATTATCGTTAATGCACGACTTGTTTCGATACCGATGGGGACCTATAGATACAATATTAGGCTCGGAACACATTTAGATTGTCATACAATTTGTGTGATCTACGGGTTGAGGAAAAGAATCGGGAATGGTCAAAGTGGTTGCAAAGTAGGTGATACGAGCCTCGTAAGAGTTGCTAGAGACCCTGTAGCAAGAACGAAACATCCAAAAGGAAGGATTCAAGTTGGATTAACATGGAATATGGACCCTATGAAGAACTAGAAATCAATATTCTTAGGATGGAATATTGACCCATGGTTATATCAAACCAAAAACAATTATTATACGGCAAAGAAAATTACAAGAAACAACTTGTAAATTCCTGAAGGTTGTTGTAGAACATCGATGGATAATTGATCTTGAAGAACTCAAAATAATTCATTAAACTTTGTGTACGAAAGTTGTGTATACAACCTATTTATAAGTGCTTCAAAGACTCATTTCTCACAAAAAAATAGAGTTCCTACCTTTACTATAATAAGAAAACTAACAATTAAGCTAATTCTAACCATAAACGAATTCTACATGTCACTTTTCTTGAAACTTATCGACTATACGCCATTTTTCTTAATTGGTGGAGATTTGGGTATGCACGTGCAACAACTTTGAGCCCAATTTTGTCCATCTTGCATTCCGTCTTACTAAAGCATGAAACTTCAAGATCTTTTGTTGGCTTTTCGTAACATTTTGAATTATGGCAATCCAATATCGGACGTGAGAGTTATGATCCGAATTGAAAATTTGCGAGAGACATCTGAGATTTTGGACGCATGACAATTGGTTGGTACGACGAATTCCTTTCTTTATTGCCTTCGAATTCCTCATCATGGGGACCTCGGAGTATTGATTCAAGTTTATATTCTTCACCGCCAACTCCCACAAGATCACGCATTCTCTCTTCTTCCAATTCTTCCAAATCTTCATCTTCAAGCTATCAGGATCGTATCAAAAGGAGAATCTTCAGAAGGAGAAGGAGAAGGAAAAGCTTTAGAGAGAGAAGAATTGTTGGCGTCTTATATACCTAGAACTCATAAGTATTAAATGAGGATGTGGAATCACCTCATGTAATCCCAAGGAAGGTCAAAGCTCTTTAAATGTGAAAAATTGTTTCCATATTAATAATGCATAACGATGAAATTCTTCTCCCCGAGTTGATATTACGATGATTGAACTTATTAACTTCTAATACTATTCTAATACATAAAAATTAACTTCTTAAGAAAGTGATCTTAAATTATAGGAATTTTGAGTTTCTAAAATACCGTTAAGACCGTACTAAATAGAAAATACGGATTAAGACTATAAAGTATAAATCACCTATTATTATCTTCAATTAAGAATTATGTTGAAAGTGGTTTGTTAGTGAACCTTCTTATTGGGAGTAGAAAGAGTAATCTCTCAATACTTCAAGTTTCATATTTGAAGCGAGTCAAAATGGGTGAGGGTATTTTCTATAAATAGTAAATAGTATATACATGTGGTAAATAAGAGGATATTATAGATCCGAGTCATAGAATATATTAAATTCTCATACAAGTTATTCAATCTAATACAATGATTTTGTTGTATCTAGGTATCGAGTAGGAACAACTTGTTCATAACGTAGTTGTTTTTAACTTTAGGCAAGGATCTTGCTTCTAGATTGCATTTGGTCGACGTCGTGCAAAAATAGTACATGTAGAGTTAAAATGAGATATATTAAATAGTTTATTAGATATACTTACTCTAGTATGAGATGTTACAAGTGTAATTTTTTGCTATTACTCGATCACCCCACATTTGAGCTATATATCATATTATCATTCAAGCAAGATAAACATAGAAACTTTCTGATAGTCGTCAAAGGAATGTTTGCGTCCTTTTTTATGTTTGATATTATTCCTACCTACGTAAAGACTTTAACTTCAACTACTAAATAGTTTAATAGGTAAAGATATTTATTTTTGTGTTATATGTTACACATGTAAGCTTTGTGCTTTATTCTGGTGCTTGTCCATAGAAAGTTTATGCTAGTTGTCGAAGGAATCTAGGAGTCTTTCTTGATGTTTAATATTTTTGTTACCTAAATCATTCAACTTAACCTTGTTGATCGCACTCAAGATCTCTTTCTACCATTGCCTAAGTTGTTCTTATGGAACATACGAACAAGTGACTACAACAAGTCTTAATTTGTATTATATTTGTTGTCAGGATCGTCCTTTTGTTGATGTCTAACTTTCCCTTCTTTTTTAATTTTGTATTAGGTCAATGTCTTGATGCATACAGCTGAAACGTCTCTTAATCCGGAAGAGCTTTCAACAGTAGTGGAGTTGGGAAGGAAGCACATTGCCCAAGATCCACTGGTATTTCGTGTAAGCAATGGGAAAGCAAATCAAGATGCCCCAAGAAATCAACAATTTGAAAGAGAAAATAAAAATAAAGGAAAGGAAAAAGTTGATCCTTCAACCTCAGAAAACAACGATCCAAGCTTCGATGAACAAAAATGTGGTGCTATCTGGGACATTTTTCGGAGGCAAGATGTTCCTAAGCTGGAAGACTATCTCCGAAGGCATTACGGAGAGTTCAGGCGTGTCGTCCCTTTGCAGCAAGTAATTAAATCTTGAATTTGAAAACAATGTTCTACTCAACTTATTCTGTTATGGGGTTTATCTCTCATATGGTAGTTACTATTATTTTTCTAACAGAATTCTAAAAATCAAGATTTTGTTAAGCTTTTGGTATGATCTTTTATTGTCGTAGCATAAGTAGATAGATGTCTTTTATTTTTCCAAAGTATCGATATGTTTTGGAATATTTATCATTTATTTTTTCCTCTATTCGTGCACAGCTGGTTCATCCTATTCATGAGAAAGCATTTTACTTAACGATGGAGCATAAAAGGAAGCTGAAAGATGAATATGGTATGTTTTTATTGTGTTGTAAAGTGGAATATGTGTGAATTGCTATGTATATTGATTATCTATTTTTATATATATTTTTTTTTGTAGGAATTGAACCATGGACCTTTGTCCAGAGATTAGGCGATGCAGTTTTGGTACCAGCTGGCTGCCCTTACCAAGCAAGAAACTTAAAGGTTTGAGTGTTTGACTCGTATACAACTTCGTGAACGACGACTTCAATTATTTTCAGTCGAATGTAAATTTTTCGCTGTGAATTTTGCAATTAATTTTTGTGTGCGTGTTCCATCTTGCAGTCGTGTACGAGTATGTCCATCGACTTTGTTTCAGCTGAAAGCGTCGGTCAGTGCATCCGCCTATCAACGGAGTATCGGCGTCTCCCAAAGAATCATAGTTGTAAGGAAGACATGCTGCAGGTATGTCAAAAATACGATTGTCTTGTCAATAAACAAAATCAAAGATATATAATGAATAAAATTTGTCTGCTTGTAAGAAAAATAAAGATTGTGGATGACAGCTAACGGCTCGTAATGAAACAGGTGAAGAGATTGGTTCTTAGTGCTGTCTGCCAAGCTGTGCAGTACTTGGACAAGATTGATGCGTAAGTCATATATACATAGGCTTGTTAAACATATGTCTTTGATACGATGTTAATTCATTTTATTTTGTTCTTTCCCAGTATGACGTTAAGAAGTCCATTTGCACCCCCCTTTGAGCATGGGAATGTACGCCATAATCCAGCTCAGCAAGGGGAGAGACCTAGTATTTTACAAATGAGGAGGGAGTTGGAGAGGATGAAATTGGCTCTCGTAACGAAAGGCCACCTTTTTCAACCTCATATGAAAGACTATCTCTTAAAAGAGATTACGCTCCTCACTAATAAAATAAACTCCAGTGCTGGCTCTTCTTCATCTTAGTTACACCATTTTCAATGGTTAGCCTACTTGTTGAGTTAACACAATATTTTGACATTTTCATCTGTGGAACTATACTTTATTTATTTAGTTTTGTGCCATACTTTTGTCCGATTTCATGAATTTCAAAGGCCCTGAGAATTTTCGAGTTGGTTTTGGCTAATGTTTCTGTTTTTTGGTTTTAGTATTAAGTTTGGGAAAATGCAAATTGATATTCCTGGTTGCTAATGTTGTGTTTGCTGAATGCGCAGGCCTGTTAGCAGTGGGTATTGGGCTTGGGTGCTCATGAGAAATTCACAAAACGTAGTAAGGTCCTCTCAAACCCGTCCCGTATATTTTAAATCTTTCCAATATGTATATTGTTGCCAGCTAAGATTGGTCAATGCTGATACGTTAGATAAGCTGGCGTGGCGCTGACGTGGCGTGGCTGGATAAGGCACAATTTATTGCGAATCGCTGCATTGACTGCCGGCCTTATCACGGTAGATTTTCTCACCATTATATAACACTCGTTTTCCCTTCCCCCATTCATTCCCATATCTCCCATCTCTCGATTCCTCTCTCAGTTTTCTTCTCGTCGTTTTCTCAGATATTTGTAAGTTTTTTATTTAGTTTTCGAATGATGACTACCCGCCTGGCCCTAGTTGTATTCAACATTTAATTTTCCATCTTCTAACTATTTTATCGGATTGATGATTTTTGATTTATTCTGGTTCAAAATCAGATGACATGTCGTTTAACGAGATACGCAATTTATTTTTGTTTTTGAATTTTGTACTTTCCGATCTTTCATGCCCCTCCCGAGTTGATTAACTTATTTATTTCTTTCTGGCAATATTCATTTCTCTGGATATTCTTGAAAACACGACAGCTTTTACTTTGGATTAGAAAGAGTACTCAAAGAGATCATATATTTTTGTCATTTCGATTTGCAGATTAGTTTTCTACGACTAACTTTTGACTTTTGTGTCCTAGCTATCTTGTTCCTCAATGAAGGAAAATTCAGATGAAGCGGCCCAATCTGAAGGTAAATTTCGTAATTACAATCGTGGCACTTCTCTACTATGAGTTATCCCGTCAATCGAAAAAAATTGAAATGTGAAATATGTGATTGGATATGTCACCTTTGCTCGTTTTACGCTCTATTGTTTGTTGGATTATTTACAAATTAACTTTCTAAAAATAACGATGTTCTTCGTATAGCTTTAATCATCAATTAAGGTCTTATTTTTTGTAATCGTTTCTTGACGTGAAGATCTTTATGTGCACTCTTAATGTTTTATTGCAATTATACTTCATGAATATATATGTCGTTTCTACCCTTTTTATCGGCTACGTATAATTTCTTATTCCAGGGGAGATACGTATACCTAGTCTTGCATAAGTGAAGAGGGAGTTGGAGAGGATGAATTTGATTCTCGAAACAAAAGGCCACCTTATTGACCCTCATATAAAAGTCTATCTTTTACAAGAGATTTTGCTCCTCCTTAACAAAGTAAACACCGACGCCGAGTCTTCTACGTCTCAGTGACAGCGTATCTACCGATGCGTTAACGTTTTTCATTATGTAATTTTGAGCAATACCTTTTCTTTTTTTTCCGGTTTTGTGAGTTGTAGTGAGTTTGGTGAATCAGCTTGACATGAATGAACTGTTTGTTTTTTATTATAAAATATATCTTTAATTCCGTAGCAATATTTTGTGTTATTTGTAGCAGTTTCATTTTCTCCTACATTGTATTTCGTACCGTAATTCAATTTTCTAAATAATATAAAACGGATGAGTATCAATGTTTTAAAAATCGGATCGAACATTGACCGGAACAAGCTACTGGATCATGGTTGGATCAGTTTAACCGGTTTTTTCATTTTTTATACATATCTTTTAGTAAATAAAACATATTTTTTTCACACATTAACTCAATGCTCATTTCCAATTAAAATTTAGATCCGACTTATTTTTCTTTTACACACAACACATCACGCCGAATCATAGTAAAAAGACATCGTTTTGGCCATTTTATTTGTTTATTTTTTTAATAAAACACAATTTTAGAAAGAAAAAAAACCCGATTTTCACTCAGGTTTTGATATTACATTTCAACCGGTCAAACGGGACCGGACAAGACAATGATTCGCGATTTAATCGATTGAACCAGCCAGTCCAGTCTAGTTCAAAACACTGAGTATAATACAATTTTCTTATGCAGTGCCATTTTATTTTATCTTTTCTAGTACATAGTTTCTGTAACAATAAAATAAAAAATAATGTAGCTTATTTTCATTATTTTGATATTTTCTTATATTAGGTTTGGAGCATTTTTTTTAAAGAAAATTAAATCACGCCCCGAATTAGAAAGTAGGTGAGTGATATGATTTATTACGTACTTTCAACTTAACGATGAGCTAGTAGCAAATCTCATTATAATATTAGTCTAAAATTTATATATCGAACAATGGTAGTAGTTGTGCTAAAATTCAAAATAATGATAAATATTGGAATAAATTGGGTTTCAAGAGTGATTCAAATAACAATCGAAGTCTCTTCCATGATGTGATTTGATGATTTTTTTTTAGGTTTTTCAACTTGAAAAAAGTAATAATAGGGTTTAACTGAAATAATTCTTAGTTAGAGGGGTTAAAGTCATATATTAACACTAAGTTAGAAGGGTTGAAATTATATTTATGCTTAATTTGAGGGGTTGAAGTGATATATAATGTTTACTTTAAAGGGGTTTGAACTTTAATTTATTTAGCAAATGATATCATCAAATAGAAAAGCCTTTTCCGACGATCAGTTGTCAATTGTAATCTCTCCACTCCCAGATTAAACCCCACAGGTGGCAGTTGCAATGTCCATGCCCACCGTCGCCGCCGCCGTCACCGCCGCCGTCACCGTCACGTCACCGGCCGTATTCTTTCTCGGCGCACGGTAATTCGAGGATGACTACTGTATTGGTTAATGTGCTCCGGCTATGGTGGTGGGAGTTATATGAAGTTAATTGGATGTGGAAATTCTTCATCGGATGGCTATTTCCAGATTGTAAGCCATTAAATTTACTGTTTTGGTGAATTATTTGAAAATGCAATTGCCTTTAATTTCTCTATGCCTTTTTTTGATAGCAAAATTTCGAGTACTTTGGTCGAATTAATTGGGCAACCTCATACATACCTAATTGAACTCTTGGGAGATTCATATTTGCCTGTGAATAATTTTATCAATGTATAAGTATAAGTGATTATATGATAATACCGTAAATTTTTCAAATGTTGCAATTTCTATTGTCATATATTAATTTTTACGTTTATAGAACAATGTCTTAGGTTGTATGCCTTACAATCCTGTCTGCGTGGCTATCCTGCTTGTCATACTGGTTACGTTTATAGAACAATTGCTGCTCCTTATTTAGAACTCATATTGTCTATAGGAAATGGTTCCTGCTAATTTTACTTCTCATTGTTTGAAGGAATATGGGGCATGATCGAGACCTGGCGAGAGATGTATTTTCAGTATCAGGTAATATTTTAATCTGGATATTGAAGCCTAGTCTTGGTGCTTATTGAGTTTATATTTTTGGAATATGGGGCATGATCGAAAAGTGCTTTATCTGATAATATTTATATGAAAGAGCATATATCGCATAAATGACTGCGTGGGTAAATGCTTTTATTGGCGGGGTTTCCCGCAAATAAATTTTACCCTACCCTCCCTACTCCCTATTCCCATTCTACTTTCTCACACATTCTCTGCATCTCTAAATCCATTCTACTTTCTCACACATTCTCTGCATCTCTAAATCCCTGTTCAATTTTCGATCTCCATCTCCTCATTTTCTCTTATCAAAGGTTCAAACTCAGAGGAAAAGTTGTTGAAACTCCAATAATTGAAATGGTCAGGATATGCATTTTATAGAAGGAGATATTCGTAAAATGTTAGTTGTACTGTTGGCTTGAAATGAGAAGAAATGCTTTATATTCTTCTACGTATTTTATTGAAATAGAGATCCTTTCCATGTATCATATATAATACATTCATTTTATTGTCACGCCTCTTATTATTGGCTAGTTTTCGTTCTCTTAAGTTCGTTTTTTTAATTCATTACAATTTTATTTGCTATGCAGAATCTAAATAGAGAATAATGATGTTGGCTAAGAGCGATCAAGACTGAGATGAAATGCCAAAAATACCAAAGAGCAATCAGTTTTCAGCATTACCAAAGTAAGTTTGGTACAATTTACTAGTGGTTCGGGTTTTGTTAATGAAATGCCAAAGAAAAATCTCTATATTTTTTTACAGAATATTCAATTCTACCTAATCTAGAGGAATTTATGAACCAAACCTAGTTGTTTGGTTTTAGTATTAAGTTTAGCAAAATGCAAACTGATATTTCTGTTTGCTAATGTTGGGTTTTATGAATGGACAGGCCTATTAGCAGTGGATATTGGGCTTAGATACTCTCTCAGATCTCCAAGAAATGGCTAATGAAGAGTCCACAAAACATAGTAAGGTACTGTCAAACCCTTCCAATATATTTTGCAAAATCGTATACTCGCTAAATTTGGTTAATGCTAATACGTTAAATGAGCTGGCATGTTGGTGGATGGATAAGGCACAATTTATTGCATATCGCTGCATTGACTGTCGGTCTTATCACGGCAGATTTTCTCACCACTATATAACACTCGTTTTCCCTGCCCCCATTCATTCGCATATTGCCATCTCTCTATTTTCCTTTCATTTTTTTACTTTTCTTGTCACCATTTTCTCAGATTTAAGGATTTTTCTTTATCTTTGGTTGAAAATGATGAGATTTGTGTTCGATATTTTTTAATTTTTAATTTTTAATTTAGTTTTCGATTGCGCATTTTTTTTTTTTTTTTTTTTTTTTTTTTTTTTTTTTTTCTCTTTCTTATTCTTTGTTGGTCTCCACCTTATCTCCTTAACTGTATTAGACATTCAGTTTTCTATCTTCAAACTATTTTCTGGATTGAAGGCTTTTGATTTATTTCTGGATGAAAATCAGATGACACATCTGATTGGACATAATTAATTTTATTTTATTTTTGTTTTTGACTTTTATATTTTCATTATGCTTGGTTTACTCATCCATTTCTTTCTGTTCAATTTTCATTATTTCTCTGGAAGTTCTTGAAAATATGGCAGCTCTTACTATGGATTTGGGTGAAATCATCTATATACCAGTTTGATTGGAAAACTAGTTTTTTCGAATTCAAACTGCCTAAAGAGTCCTATGCCTCAGTAGTGAATCTCAATTTTTTTTTGCGAAATTAGATATACAAAAGTGAGAATCAAGGGTTCCTATGTTATATGTTAATATCTTCGTCTTTCGGTGTGACAAACGCAAATGAACTCAAACAATTGTCCTCAGCGTCACATGTGTGGTAAAGATATAGTTGTTGGATACATCAAATGCAGTTTGAAGGATTATTGCGTTCTCAGCATCACTAAGTTGTGCAAAAGTTTGTTGTTGAAGATACTTTTTCATTTCAGTGTTTCAGTTTTATGTTAAGCTACTAAAATTATATCTTTTGCATCTGGAAATTCGTTGACTGGAATTAATCTTGTGACGTAGGCTTCCAAATTGTCACAGCCGAAGAATTTCCACGACACAAAAGATTTTAGTAGTGTCTAACAATTGAGCATTGAAGTATAAAATGTCTCCAACAACAAAAGTTCTCGACATTTAATAATGCATGAAACGGGATAGTTATTTTTTTTGCATTTGGTGCATCATAAAACTATTTCTTCATCATTCTTGTGGCATTGATGACAATTGTTTGAGTCACTCTATCATACTCGAAGACAAAAATGTTAACATAAAAATCTGTAGTTCTCACCTTTGAATATCTTGTTTTGTGAAGAAGTTGGAGAGAGAATATCTTGTTTTTATGAGACGTGTTATTGCACTTTCAGTTCTCATTAGTACCCTAATCGATGTTGTTATTAGAGACTTTTTGATTTTAGTAAATTCTTTGGTTGAAATTCTGATTTTAGGATGCTATCGTTACTTTCTAACTTGTTGCCATCTAGGCTTCCATCTTGTTTAGAACGTAAAAACTTCTGTTAAAATTTTAGTTAGAAGCTTCTTTCATTATACTGACAACGCACTTGGATAGATGCACGCATAAAGCATATACAATCACATTCTTCTGTTGGTCTCTAGTTATTGCATCGAGAAGAATTGAACTACATATATCTGACTTTCAAAGTTATTAGTGTTAGAAAAGTGTTTTTCATATTTCAAATATGACTGAGAAATGAGTTACTTACTGAGTTACTTTGTGTTTTCTGTTCTGACAAAATAATATTTTCTCCTGCACTATAACATTAATCTGTTTCACTTCGAAGCAACACTAAATTTAGAGCACCTCACACGCGGTATCACATAAATATTTCTGCACCATTAAACAGTGATACATCTAAAAATCTTCACGATTTGCTTAATATTGTAAAAAGATCTTCCTGATTGAGTATTTAAGGATGAAGGGTTTTTGCAGAGAGACCCGTACGATGTGGTAATATTTGTAATTTTAATGATTGTTTACGGTGTTACGTGGTCAATAAAGTATGTATTAACCAAAGTGATCCAAGGGTGTCTTAAGTTTGCATTATAGTGAAAAATGCATTTGGAAGAATCTTTTTTGTACACACACACACAATAAAATTGACACAATACAGTTATAAAAGATATGCAAATGCTATGCGACTGAGAAATTTATTGTGGAGAAAGATAATTTTGTATGAAGCACCAATTCTGGATGTTTTGACAACGAATGATGTACTATCAAATTGAATACGTCCTCGTTTGGTTGTTACAATGAGGTGACCAAGATAAGATTATTTTAATTTTATTAGGGTCTAATTGTATAAATGCACCAATAATCTATAAGAGAAGGGCACAATTTTTTTCTTTTCAATTTTTTTAGATGCTCCCAAAAATTATTGAATTAACTAAATATGAAAGAAGATATAATTAATCATGATGTATCTTGTTAACCAACAAAGCCAAAATATTTTTGAGAGCGATTTTTTTTCTCCTGAGAGACTTTGATAATCGCTTGATGTAAATATTCATTATTGAACATAATTAATTATGGTATTGAAGAAAGTTGATTTCCTCAATTTGTGTTATGTATTTGTGGACACTTTTTATGCGCCGTGGTAATAAAATAGTTGAAATTCCAAAAACTAAAAGCTTTAGATTTCTATCATTTGTATGGCTTGTGCACAAGGAAGAATGAATATGGTCAGGATATGCATCTTGAAATATATAGCTTATAGTCGAGAATGGAAAATAAGAACTTTCATTTTCAGAATATTTTATGTTATAGTATTTGGTGATAGCTTTATTAGAGGAATATTTGGTCAATGAGCTTACATTTGTTTTTATGTATTGGATGCTTAGCTAGTTTGTCCGGAAATACGTATTGAAGTGTTGAACCACACAGCGCTGTTTTAAGCAGCAGTGTACTTTAGTTGCATAATGCGCTTTCTAAAAAATAATTTCCTAGTTGGTAAAATAATTTTCTAAGACTTTTCTGATTAGCTAACTTTATTTTTCAGCTTCAAGATTTCATGAGAAAGAAAAATGGGAAACTAACTCTTGGTACACTGGACATCGTGGTTGCATCTTTTTTCTTCTTCGCTTTTTCGGGTTTAAAAGAATCATTGAAATAATTTTAAGTTTTTAACGTATAGGGATTACTCACGATTAAATGAAAATCTATAGGTGCAAAAAATTTGCTCATAAGTTGTTTGATCTTAATCTGGTATGGGGGCTACAAAAGTTTGGGTTGAGCTCCAAAGTTATATGCATCTAATCAAAACAACATCAAATATCTATATTAAGCTTTTATTGCACTGTATAACTTGGCACTTCTTTAGCTTATTGAGCAGAAATCAAGCTAAACTTGATAAATAGGCTGACTAATATGATATCAAAATTTACCATTCCTAGAAAAATTATGCTGAAATGATCTACTTAGCAGTTGGGTAGATGTGTATGGTTTGGTAAACCGACCGAACCAAAACCAAAGCTTTAGTTTGTACCGAATACTGAACTGCTATCCTGTTTGATATTCGTTTTCCATATTTCACAGTTTTGGTTCGGTGCTGATACTTTTGGTTTAAGTTTATGCAACTGAACTGTGCTTTTCTTTTTTCTTTTTTTTTTAATCAATTTCTGGTCAATCTCCTTCCTGGCTTCCGTTCTCAACTTTTATTTATTTATTTATTATTTGTTTTTCTTTTTTCTTCAAAGGAGGAGCCGTTCTCAACTGTTTGATATGATTGCAGAAGAGATTTTTTCCATGTATGGATTCATTCCTGGTATTGTCATATGCCTTATATTAGCTAGTTTTAGTTCTTTTCTTCCACCAAAGAAAATGCAAGTTAATAAGTTTAAAAGATTCTTTTTTTTTTTTTTAATTCATTTGGAATTTTACATGTAAGCCTTTTGGAAGAGCAATCAAGATCGAGATGGAATTTTTGAAATTTCCAAAGAGCATTGCCGAAATATGTTTAGTGTAACTTCATTTGTCTATAATTCAGTTCTCCCGGGATCTTTACGAATATACCGAGCCAAACCAATTTTTTTGGTTTTGTGTATTAAGTGTTGCAAAATGCAAAATGATATTTCTGTTTTCTAATTTTGGGTTTGCTGAATGCACAGGCCTATTAGCATTAGCAGTGGATATTGGGCTTCGATAAGAAGTCCAAGAAATGGCTCGTAGAAGTTAAAAAACGTAGTAAGGTACTGTCAAGCCCATCCAATATATTTTGTTTCCGTATATTGCTGCCAGCTAAGAATTGTTAATGCTAATACGGCAAATGAGTTGGTGAGTTGGTGGATGGATAAATCAAAATTTATTGCAATTGACTGTCGACCGTATCACGGCAGATTTTCTCACCATTATATAACACGCATTCTCCGTGCACCAATTCATTCACCATATCTCCATTTCTCTATTCCTCTTTCAGTTTTCTTCTCATCATTTTTTCAGATTTAAGGCTTTGCTTTATTTTTTGGTTGAAAATCAGATGAGATTTGTGTTTATATCTGTAAGTTTTTTAATTTCATTTTGTTTTTGAATGATGCCTACAGTTTTTTCTTATTCTTGTTACACCCCCCTCCCCCCCTCCCTAGCTGCATTCAACTTTCATTTTTCCACCGTGTAATCATTTTCTCGGATTCAAGGATTTTGATATATTTCTGGTTCAAAAAACAAAGGAGATATCTGATTTGACATACATCATTTTTTTTTAATTTTGTAATTTTTGATTTTTCATTCCCTGTCGCCTAGTTGTTTCCGTCCATTTCTTTTTGGCCAGTTTTCATTCATTTCTACTTTAGATTAATGATAGATCTCATCTCGATTTGAAGATTAGTTTTCTAGGACAAGTTTTTGTGTCATAGTTATGTTGCTTCTCTTTCTGATGATTTTTTTTCCTTGTAGAGTTATCAATGAAGAAATATCCTCTACCGGAAATATGCAGAGGAACGTGCTCAATTTTAAGGTAAATTTCGTGAAAGTCAATTATGACAGATCTCTTAGAACCAAAGATTGATAAACAGAGAACAACAGGGATCTGTTGTTGTCTTTCAAAAAAAAAAATCTAGTCTTCAGTCACAAAATGATTTAGTAAATAAACTTATCTTAGTTAACTTAATCAACAGATCTTAATTAACTTAATCAACAGATCTTACATTAGATACCCATGTGAAATGGAAGGAAGCTATCTATATTTCTTTTTGAGAGGGTTATATCCGTAACTGTAGATCTCTTATAATTTCACTCTCGTAAAGTAAGATATTCAAAAAGTATCTTATGTTAGCATGTTTGTCTTTGGGTATGACAGAGGAAAAGAAGCGACTCAAACAACTGTCATCAATGCCACAATAAGGACAAAGAAAATGTCCTACAGATTCGGCGACGCGGTTTTCGTACCAGCTGGCTGCCCTCACCAAGCTAGAAACCTAAAGGTTTGTGTGTTTGACTCGTATACAACTTCGTGAACGACGACTTCAATTATTTTCCATCGAATGTAAATTTTTCGCTGTGAATTTTGCAATTAACTTTTGTGTACGATGCTCCATCTTGCAGTCGTGCACAAGTATGTCTATCGACTTTGTTTCAGCAGAAAGTGTCGGTGAGTGCATCCGCCTGTCAACGGAATATCGGTCGACTCCCTCACAATCATAGTTCTAAGGAAGACAAATTGCAGGTATGTAAAATAATATGATTGTCTTGTCAATAACTAAAACCGGAGATATATATAATGAATAAAAATTTGTCTGCTTGTAAGAAAAATAAAGATTGCGGACGACATCTAACGGCTCGTAATAAAACAGGTGAAGGGATTGGTTCTCAGCGCTGTACTTGGACAAGATTGATGCGTAAGTCATATATGCTTGTTAAATAAACATATGTCTTTGATACGATACGATGTTAATTCATTTTATTTTATTCTTTACCAGTATTACGTTAAGAAGTCCATTTGCACCGTACGCCAGAATCCAGCTCAGCAAGGGGAGAAACCTAGTCTTTCACAAATGAGGAGGGAGTTGGAGCGGATGAAATCGGCTCTCGAAACGAAAGGCCACCTTTTTCAACCGCATATGAAAGACTATCTCTTAAAAGAGATTCCGCTCCTCACACGCTTTAATATGCTCTTTCAGATATGGTACATTTGCACCCTCTATACGCATCGGAATGTACATCGGAATCCTGCGCTGATGAAAAAGAATGTGTTGGCAGGTGATTAAGTTTACTCTTGAAAGAATGTGTAGCTAGAAACTATGGAGAACCTCTGGCTGCTGTTATATTTATATATACTTCATTACTGTTTAACATGATTTATATATATGTTGGTGAGTATTTGTTGATTATTGTTTTTATTTACTATATATATATATATATATATATATATATATATATATATATATATATATATATATATATATATATATATATATATATATATATATATATATATATATATATATATATATATATATATATATATATATATATATATATATATATATATAAATATATATATATATATATATATATATA